TTATAATTAATTGAATACTATAGTTGCAAGTATATAGTTGAGTATATAATATTTTTAAACTTTATTAAATGATATAATATATTATATGATTTATTGCAGGAAAGATTAAATACAGAGGCCATTCAAAAATATGGGAATGATACAACTGCATGGCCAATAACAGTTGATGCCCAGTTTTTGTTCCAAATTTCGGATGGACCTTCAAAAGATAGGCGACTTAATGACATGCCTATGTACATGGACCTTGCTAACCAAAGCGTCTCACACTGCAAGCATCCGCCACATACCATACTTGATAATTCTGTTCAGTCATCCCAACGAGTGGTCCAATTGCAACAAACTATAACAGAATTATAAGAGAATCAATTGACATTACAAAAGAAGGTTGAGAGGATGGAGAGAATGTTTTTTACGATACAAGGAGGGATGCAAGGATGGATGCAAGGAGATGGAGGGGCTAGGACAAGTGGGGAGCATAATTGGCATTGTTTTCAGTTGATCTTTGTATCAAAACATCTTCTACTATTATATATGAAATGAACATGTATGAGATTAGGGCATAGTGCTTTAATTAGTATTTTAGGTCATAACACTTTAATTATAATGTTAGGTTATGTTTTATATTTATGTGTTTTTAGGTAAAGCTTTCAATTACATGTTTTAATATATATTTAAAACATATGGCTAATTAATTAGTATAATTTTTTATATTAAATTATTTATAAAATTTAGATCAAAAAATTTGAAACAAATTAAGCAAAAAAGAGGAAACATCAACAAGTAGGAAATAGAATAATAATTAAGGGACTTCACTAACCTATTTGAAACAAACAAATTAATATATTTTTCTTAGTGATTAATTCGGTCACATATTTTTTGTTGAAATAAGTACATATTTTCAATTTTCTCACAAAACCTCTACTTCTTCCTACTCATATGGTCTTCTCTAAACTTTCTCAATAAGTTTTGGCTGGAACTAGAGACTAATTAAGAGATGCTGCTACTTGCTGTGGCCAATATTTAGTAGTTTTTGAGACTTTTGAGCTAAGGAAAGTATGAGTACCTACAATCTTCTTCTTTTTTCTTTCTTTTATTTGACCTTTTTTTAATTAATTTTTGGTAATAATTTAATTTTAAATAAAATATTGATTGATTACTATCAATTGTGTTTCACCATCTTGTGTCCCGATCTATTATTTTATCTAGTTAATTTGGGTTGAAGTTAGTTAAATTTTATGTTTTAATTTTTAAAAAAATATAATTTATATTTAATCACAAGATTTTAATGTATTTAAATGTGCTATTTGTTCTTCTATCATAATTTTCATTTCCATTAGTATGGTTTTTACTTTTCTGATTGATTAATTGATTTTATTTCCACTTAGTCAAGGTACCTAAATTTTTCATTTCCGATGCATCTGTTGCACTCAAATAAGTAATTTCTCCATTTTTCTGAATTAGAAGCCTGTCAAACTATAATTATGTTGTATAAATTTGTTCCTTAATTTTTTTTTTTAAATTTAGTTTAGAAAGAAATAAAAAAATTTATGATCAGTATTTGGTAATGTATGATTAAATAAATCAAATAATTTATCATAAAATAATGATTTTATTATTCAATTGATTGATAAATATTGATTACTTTAATTAATTAATTGATTGATTAGAGAATTATGATTATATGCTTTAATTGTTAAGTAAACTATAATTAATTAAATTATTTGATTACTAAAAAAGTATAATTAATTAGAATGATTATAATTGATTGATTAATAATTCATAATTACATATTTAATTGCTAAGTAAAATATGATTAATTTAATAACTTAATTGATTATAAAATTATGATTTCATTATTTACTTGGATGATAAATAATGATTTTTTAATTTAATTAATTGATTGATTAAAGAATTATGATTGTATGTTTTAATTGTTAAGTAAATTATAATTAATTAAATTGTTTAACTGATAAAAAATTATAATTAATTATAATTATTATAATTTATGATTAATTGAATCATAATGAAATATTTAATTTTTTTAGATGAATCAAAATATGTATTATAATACGGAGTACAAGTGATACTCCACCCACAGTCTCAAAAACACCTTACATGATAATGACATATAAAAGTGAAAAAAAAAATAAGAAAAATAAAAAAAAAAAAGAGAATAAAAAAACAATATGCGAAAAAGACACAAAAAATAATATTGAGAAAAAAAAAGAGAGACAAAAACACATTGAGAGACAAAAAGACACAAAAAAACATATTGACAAAAAAAAAGACAAAAAAAAATACACTGACACACAAAATAAGAAGATAAAATTTCTTTCCCCTTCCCCCCCACAAAATTTTATATCACATAGTGACACACAATATACAAAAACATAACACAAAATTATATGAAAATACACAAAAAAAGTGGAAAATACACCCCAAAAACAATAGGAGAGTCCACATCGAAAACCCCTAAAAAAAAAAACGAAAAAAAAAAAAAAAAACATAGAAAAACCCCAAAACACACCACAGCCCCAAAAAAAAAAAAAAACGATATATAAAAAATATGAGATACCCAGACACATATATACCCCCACAAAAATATAGAAAAACGTCAAAAGTGTAAAAACGAGAGTCATATTACAAAAGTTTACCCAAATTGTTACTGATCAAAAATCATGTCAAACCCATCCAAAACACCCGCTAAGTCCTCTAAAACTATTACAAAAATTTTAGGTAATGGTTGTTGGCGTCTTACATTTACAAAAAAATCTTGGAATGAGGCATATGAAAAATTACGTTCTATTCAAGAATCATAGTATCTTTTTGTCACGCCCTAAAACCCAAATCCGAGGCACGACAAACGCCGTGCACTCGTGAGACGAGTCCCACAAATGTACAAGGCTCGGAACTTAATCATATGACAATCTGATACCACTCCATAACTTAAATCAAACATCTCAATTTATTTCTATATCCAAAATGACTTAAATCCAAGTAATTGATCTAATGACCGAAATCTGTTTTGATCTCATAAATTCAAGGTAAAATCTATCTTACAAAAGCATGATTTATTTCTAAAATCTATATCAATCTCGAAATGGCTAGCCTTCTAACTCGTCACTTCCCATGGTTTCCCCGTTCTCGATTTCGCTTCTTAAAATGGTGGACAAGGAAAAACTATGAGATAAACTCAGTAAGTAAAATATGAAGTGCCCCTTATTAAACTTATAACAAGCCAACAAGTATAATCACGAAAAACAGTGTCACGCCTCAGAACCCAAATCCAAGGATGTGGCAGACATCGTACACTTGTGAAACGGGTCCCACAAGTACACAAGGTTCGAAACTTATTCAAATCACAAAATCTCAAGAATAAAATCTACTTACAAAAGGATAATAAAATCTAAAACTTATATCCAATTAGAATGGCTAGCCTTCTACCTCGTCACTCCCCTTGGTTTCCCCATCCTTGGTTTCACTTCTTGAAATGGTGGATAAAGAAAACTATGAGATAAAATATCTCAGAAGTAAAAATATGGATAGCCCTTGGTAAAAATTTTAAGCATGCCAAATAAACCATGTAAGCATAATAGAACTTTCAATGATAAATCATTCATGCATAATAAAACTCACCAGTAGTCTCATCTATTAGTCATAGCCAGTGTTTAACAACTCCCACTGACAGGCGTCAGTAATAGTACCAGTGTTTAACAAACTCCCACTAGCAGACGTCAGTAATTACCAATGTTTAACCCCATTGGCAGGATTACAGAAGTACCAGTATTTAACAAACTCCCACTGACAGGCGTCAGTAATGGTACCAGTGTTTAATAAACTCCCACTGGCAGGCGTCAATAATTACCAATGTATTATCCCATTGGCAAGATTACAGAATGAACCGATCATATCAGTAAACATGTCGAAATGTGCCAACGTTTACAAACTCCCACTGGCAGGCGTCAATAATCATATGACTATATTAGAGACAAAACCATACAAGATTTATAGAAAAATCAGTAATTCACAATCAATCTCAAATTTCAGAAGTAAACCGAAAAATTTCCATGTGAGCATGGATTTAACAGAAAAATCAGAATTTACAAAAATTCTCAAATCATCAAAGCAGTTCAGTAAATTTCAAGTAGGCATGCTCTACTCCAGAAAAACAATGAAATTCTCATTTTCATTCCAATCATGCTCAATTCCAGAAAATAATAATTTTCATAAAAATCATCAAAATTTTCATTTCAATTTAATCACACTTAGATGCTGATAAAATCAATTTAAAATCAATTAAAACCTTGCCACCATATCAAAAACAATTTAAAACATGCTTTGAAATCGAAGGGCATTACCATAATTTACTTACCTCAAATCCGTAATACCGGGAACTCAAGCCAAGTACTCGGATAATAGAACACTCAAGAACCTAATCAAAATACCCCAAAATTAATATCATGCTACCACAAATTCACAGTGAAAACATCATTAGGATCACCCCCTAATCAAGATGCTATTTCTATCAATCTCCACATGACCAGACATCTCCAAATTTGTTTTCATATTACAAACTAAACATTTAAATCCCCATTAATTGTTGGCCATCAGTGCGTGAACAGTACCTATGAACAGTAGCTTAAACAGTGCTCACGCCGTGAACAGTACTGCAACTTCCAAAAATTGGCAAAACCATAATAAATCTCACAGGATTTTTCTCCAAAATCACAACAATCCAATTCAAGCTAATTTACACTTAAACCAAGCTTAAAAACATAGCTTAAACTACCAAAATTTCCCCATTTCTCACGGGCAGGAGAGCATGGCTTTGGCAAACCACAACTCACACACACGGGATTTTCCTACACAACATCACAACAGCCAAATCAAGCCATTTCTACATGAATTTAAGCTAAAATTATAGACTTAAATGGCTGCCGAATTTCTTCCTATTTCCACAGAATTTTCAGACAATCACAGAGCATCAACTAAATGGACAAAACCCAGCAATTAAATGGGTAATTTCGGACTTAATGGGGTTGTCAACATACCAGAATTTCCCAGCACCTGCAAAACCGGACCTGGCGGAGGGAAGAAGCCGATGACAAATTTTGCAGGGGGAAACTCACGGCTACCAGAAATGGGAAGGAAATAAAAGCAATTAAAGTAAACCCAGCCTAAATCAAGCTGAAAAGATGAAGTTCATGGCTGTGGCTTACCCGAAAAAGCCAAGAATTTCGTGCCTAGCAGCACCGGTGGACAGGGGAGGAAGAGCAGAGCAGATCCAAAAATTTCTCTGCAAGCGGGGGGAGGTTTCTAAGCTCCACATCTTGTGATTGAACAAGAAAGAAGGAGAAATTCAAGCTTTGCCACCAATTTTTTTCTCAAAGGGGAACTATCGACAGCTTGGGGGGCTTGTCGGGGGAAAGGAAGAACAGCAGGTCACGGGTCTGATGAGGATTGAGGAAGAAAAGAAAGAAAGAGAAGAGAAAAACGAAAGCAGCTGATCCTTATCCTAATTTTCTTTTTTTTAAGTCCCTCAACTTTTGAAAATTTTGCTATTAAGCCCCTCAAGAATATTTCCTCAGAAATTAGTCCCCAACTCAACTTTAATATTCTAGAAATTTTGGGGGTATTACAAACAGATATGAGTACGGGCATGAAATAGACGTCTCCTCTGTAGGGCATGAAATAGACGTCTCCTCTGTAGGGCATGAAATAGACGTCTCCTCTATAGGTCATGGCCAGTGTTATAAACCATCCACTGGCAGGCGCACTATTTGCTGGTGTATAACCCCCACTAGCAGGGTTACTTGAACGAACCGGTTCTATAAATAACATGTCGACATGTGCTAGCATTTATAAACCCCCACTAGCAGGGTCACTAATAACATGACCACATCGGAGACAAAACAGGTAGAAGTTAACAGAAAAACCATAATTCATCAATCACTTTCAAATTATCAGGACAATCAATTAAATTTCAGGCATGCTCAATTTAATGAAAAGCATAAAAATTTCACTTCAAATCAGTCATACTTACTTTTGTATAAAACGGGTTTAGTCCTGCCACCACTTCAAAAAAACAAGTCAAAATATGCTTTTAAAAACTATACGGACATTACCATAAATTTACTTATCTCACTCGCATAAAACCGAAGACTCGATCCAAGTACTCTAAGCCATAACAGCACCTAATATTCCAAATAAATACATTCAGGCCTTACTAGAATAATTAGCACGACCTCACTAATTTGCTAACCACTGAGCTTCACACGAAATTCAACCATAATATAACTCACTTTTATTCAAAACCGTATATCTACCCAAAGTCCAAATATTTTTAAATAAAATCATAATATCCAAAAATCTCTTAAACAAGAGATTTTAAAGCCAAATTTCACCAATTTGGTTTCCCAATCCCACGGTAAAAAGGGAAGAGCACAGCTTTGGCAACACAAGTCACAAGATTTTTCTCCAAAATCACAGCAGCCTAATTAAACTAATTCCTACATGAATTAAGCTAAATCATGGTCTAATTACTGTCAAATTTCTCCCCTATTTCCAGCAGAAAATTCAGACACACGCAGGGCAGTAATTACATGGATAATTTTAGCAATTAAATGGGTAATTTTTAGGCTCAAAGGAGCTGTCACATACCAGAATTCAGCAAACAAGGTCGGAGCTGCAGTTTGGGGGAAGGCCGGCGGAAGTGCAGAAAATTTAGGGGAAACTACCGAAATTTGGAGAAACCAAGAGAAATCAGTGTTAACCCAAGCCAATTCAAAGCTAAAAAGATAAAATTCAAGGCTGATTTTTACCAGGAAAAACCGAGACTCACACCCAGCAGCAACCGGTGGCAGAGGGGTGGAAGAGCAGAGCAGATCTGGAAATTCTGGGTTGAGAGAGAGAGAGTTCTAAGCCCCAAATCTTGTGATTGAACAAGAAAGAAGGATAAAATCAAGCTCTCTTACTAGTTTTTTTCCAAGGGAGGTGCTGTCGGGCTTGGGGACTTTCGGCTGCAAGGGAGAAGAAAAGAAGAGCAGATGCGCGGGCTGAAGAAGAAGAAAGAAGGAAAAAAATAATGGATCCTTATCCAAATCTTCCCTCTTTAAGTCCCTCAAGTTTGGAAATGTTGGCTATTAAGCCCAAAACAATATTTTCTCACACAAAGGTCCTCAACTTAAATGCTAGAATTTTAAAAAATTTGGGATATTACACTTTACCTTACTTACCTATATTTTGCAATATATTTTCTAATTTCCCAGTCCATGTATGAGATTAAGACATAGCACTTTAATTAGTATTCTATGTCATGACACTATAATTATGATATTAGGTTACCTTTTATATTTAGGTCTTTCAATTACATGTTTTAATATATGTTTATAATATAAAGCTAATTAATTGGTAGAAATTTTATATTATATTACTTATAAATTTTATCTAAAAAAATTTGAAACAAATTAAGTAAAAAAGAAGAGGAAACATCAAAAAGTAGGAACTAGAGCAATAAGCAGAAGACTTAACAACCTATTTTGGTCAAAACACTTGACTGAAAAAGGCATTATCCCATCCTTGGAGAAAAAGAGTGATCTCTATTTCAGTTAGTGGGCTTAACCGAAAAAAGGCAACCCAATATCCCACTCTCGCAGAAAAAAAAATGATCTTTAATTTGGTCAAATGATCAGTTCGGTCAAGCACAATAACCGAAATAAGTTTAAAAAAAACATAGGAGGCTCCTTGATCTTTACCAGAAACTTTAGGGAAATTTTGAATTTCCCTCTACATATAATTCGATCAGAATGAATGATTGAATTAATTTCATATTCCCACTCTGCCTTCCAAATTTTTTTGTAGGAAAACGTTAGAAATTTTGGCCCTTTATTTAAGTCAGTGTGACTATCCAAAATAGTCCATGCCTATTTGTATATATTATGGCTCACTCTTTTCATTTATTCTCAATCTTCTCTTTCGTTTTTCTTCTCTTCTTCTTAAACTTCAACACTTTTCTTTATCTTTTATTCCTCTTAACTTTAGTTAATTTTCCTTGAATTTTCATTAAATCTTCATTTCTTCGTATTTCTTTTTATACTACTTGTTAATCAATACACATCTTTAATTTTTTTTCTTCAAGTTTAATTCATATTCTTTAGTTTTTTTCTTTACATTATGTAATATTACTTACTCCTTTCTTTACCATTTCTCTTTTACCTTCATTTTCTTTAATTATCTAAATTATGTAAATTTTTCTTTACATTTAATTATCTTATATAAATGTTTTTGATGTTTGTACTAATGATTTGATTTTTTATTTCTAAAGGTTCCCTAATTTGGTGAAGAATGGGGTAGCATTATGGAGGTAATTAACTTCATTACCTTATTTATACTCATATACATATTTTTTGATTTATTTTTTATTTATTTTGCATTCTATTTTTGTAGGATTCTTTTTACAAATGTAAAGTATTTTTTATTTCTTTTTATCTTCCTACATATATATGCAAATTGAATCATAGTTATTAATAAATAATTATACTCATAATTAAAAAACCATAAAAAGGCCAAAAAATTAAATAAATAAAAATTGTATATCATTCATAATATTAATATCGAATTATTTTAATACTAAATCTTTTTATAATATTTATTATTTATATTACAATTTATTAAATAATTTGATTTTTTTTCAAATCTGGACATATATTTTGATCAAGTTACTTGACCGAAATACATTGAAAATTTTATGCCATCATTTTGAATTTCCCCCTACAAATCATTCATTAAATAATTTGGTTTTTTTTTTTTTTTAAATCTGCCAATATGTTTCGGTCAAGTAACATGACTGAAATACATTGAAAATTTTTCGTCAACATTTTCAATTTCCCCCTAAATCCGCCAATATATTTCGGTCAAGCTCCTTGACCGAAATATATTGAATACTTTTATGCAGGCTCTTTTTTTCTTCGGTCAAATCACTTAACCAAAAAAATATGCAATAAATTTCCAAAAAAAGAGTAAATCCTATACTATTTCTGTTACTCATTTCACCTGAGATAGGCTAAGGATAAGTTTTTTCGCCATCTTAGTTCAGTTAGTTATTTGGCCCAAAAAAGTTAGGTGAAATACCAGAAATAACCTTTACCTCTAGTTCGATCAAGCATACTGACCAAAGTATTTAATTAAAATATTATTTATAAGTTCAGTCAAATTATTTGTCTGAATGTAATAGTTATTTAATGAGTTTTTTAAGCAAGTTTTTGATCAATTATATTAACCGAATTAATGATATATTTTGATTAAGATGAAATTTTCTCCGAAATAGTATTTCGTACAGAGGATATTCAGGCCAACAATTCGATTAGTGGGGTTGACCGAAGTGTTGTCTATTCGGTCATAAAATGTACTTTTTCGGTCAATATGCTTGACCAAAAAAGCCCCTAATTCTAGTAGTGTATAAATTTGTGTATTTCACCTAGTGACAAGAGTGAAATATTTTAGGTTATTGTCACATCATGTTATCAATAAATATTGTCCATAAATAGCTACAAATAGTAATACATTTAATTGATATTTATCAACTTGATAATGATTGTATCAACTTAGAAAAATCAATTTTCCTTTTATCTTAGTTTGCACAATGGGAGACAACTATTTCTTATCCATTAACCCACCTTACTTGCATATCATGCGACTCGATGTTAGCAAACTTGAAAGATCAAATTGAAAGGTACAAAATGGAGTCCAAATTAACTTCCTAAGTATAAATGGGAAGTAATAGCACCTATAAGGAACCTAAAATTAAGAAAGGAGCCCTTGTGATAAACATAAAAATATTTTGACATTCTATTTATCAAAAGCCTAAATTATCAAAAAAAAATTATGAAAAAGGTAAAGTAAAAGCCTTTATAGGCTTTCAACGTATTCATCAACATAAAGTGTTTTAGTATATACATACATAGAGAGAGAGAGAGAGAGAGAGAGAGAGAGAAATTGGGATAAAAATGTATATGTTAACAAATAGATATGAAAGGAGTAACTAAGAAGAAATAATACTAAGGGAACAAGGACGAGCAAAGAAAGATTAATAATAAACAAATCATTAAAATGTAGTTAGAAAATGAAGGTGAATGTAGAGTAGAAAAGTAAATATAATGAGAATATGTGAAGGCAAGTAAGATAAGAGGTAAAATCCCAACAAAAATTAATAAAAGGTGAAGTAAAGGTTAAGAAAAAAAGAAGTATGAGAGAAAAAAAATGGA